TCACGTACTTGGTTGGCTGGAGGGTTCTTCTGTCAGGATCGTTTGCACCAAGTTCGAGCAGTGCATAGCCCCTTGTGTGCAAAGTGCAGTGTGGAGAATGGTACGGATACTCATCGTATCTTTCGGTGTGACTGGCATTTTCTGGAGCGACTCAGTTGGACAGGTGAAGAACGTGCATTGCTACGCTGGGGGCGTCAAGAACATGGGCAGCGGCATCCTCACACAATGATGACGACAAGAGGCTTGATGGAGGACCCCGCGTTCAATTCGCCGATGCCGACCAGCGAGCACATTATCAACTGGCACAAGTGCACTGTTAGTGGGCTCCTCAGTGGTGTTGTGTGCACGGATGGCAGCTGTATTTTTCCACACTGTGAAGTTCGAGCACGAGCTGGATGGTCCCTTGTCATGATTGATGAGGCTGGTGAAACTGTGGCGGCGGCTTCGGGGCCAGTGCCGTATCCGTGGCAGACATCAGGAGCTGGTGAGATCTGGGCGGCGACACAGGCTTTGCAGCACAAGTCGGCAGGTCGCATTACGATTGTCACCGACTACAAAGATCTCAAGATTGGGTGGATGCTGGGGTTCCCATATGGGTGCCAAACTGGACATCAGCATATGGAGCTGTGGAAGAGATTGTGGCGGATTGCACAAGACATCGGAGTTGAAGAAATTGAGCTCGAGTGGATTCCTTCGCACATGTCGAGGAGTAAAGCCATTGATCAAGGAATCAATATGACGTACTGGTATGGGAACAGGAGCGCCGACTACTATGCGAGAATGGGGGCAGACGTGCACCCACGCGGGAAGCCCAGGGAGAAGGTCAGGAAGTTGCGGGAGGCCGCTGTCCCGCTCACCTTGAGATGTGTGTTGCGCATTTTGCGCCTGTGTCAGAAAGGAGGGTGGAGTGATGCGCAGGTGATTGAGAGCAGCAGAGCAGAGCGCAGTTCTTTCCTAGTCCTCTCTGGAGATGGAGGACACGTAATTCATAGGTTTAGGGGGCGATGGGTGTGCGGTAGGTGCGGAGATAGTCGTGCTCGGCGGTGTGACCTTGCGGGCCCCCCCTGTGGCGGTGACCCGAAGGGGTCAGAGAAGCGCGCCCGCCCCACAAACTTTGGCGCACAAGCCCAATGATCTGGTGTTCAGAATGTGCTTCGAGGTGCGTCTCGAGGGCTTTTTTGATTTCAAAACCGCGTCTCGGTCGGCCGCCCTTGGGTTCTCCGAGGCACTTCAAGAGGAGGTACCTCATCCAAGGGAAAGGGCCCTCTGGAGAGAAGGTTGGTTGTGGGTTCACTCGGCCCGTTCCAATCTTCGCGAGCGTCGATCGCTGCGTTCGGCGTGTTTGAGTCTCTTTGTGTGGCTTGGTGCATCGTTCTCGGCACACCTCGTCGTCATCCAGAGTCTCCAGAGCCTCCTCCTCCTCCTCCTCCTCTCCTCCTCATCCTCCTCCTCTCTTTTTTTTCTTTCTCTCTCTCTCTCTCTCTCTCTCTCTCTCTCTCTCTATCTCCCTCTCTTTTTTTTTTTTTTTTTTTTTTTTTTTTTTTTTTTTTTTTTTTCTCTCTCTCTCTCTCTCTCTCTCTCTCTCTCTCTCTCTCTCTCTCTCTCGTTCTCTTTCCCACCCGTCCATAACGTTTCGGACCAGACCCTCATTGAGGGTGCCTAACGCCCACGACGCGCTCACAGCGGTAAGGCGCGGTGTCAGCCTGCTGGGCAGCAGGCTCTCAGAGGGGACTGGTGTACGCAGAAAGGGAACACTCTCTCTCTCTCTCAGATTGCACGCAGGAAGGGGACCCTCCCGGATTGCGATTCAAGCCATCCCTCGGGCTACGGGGCATCACAGCTCACGTCCAGTTCGCAGCGACGGACGTTCATATATTCCCCTGTGTACAGCAGGCAGACGATCTCCTTTTCTCGACCTCTCCACCGACGTACGTTCCGAATATTATGCCAGTGACGCTGCTGTGTGTGTGTGATCAACCTTCGCTGTTCCTGATTATCCAGTCATTTGTGTGCGTGAGGAAGGAGAAATGGCTCGCGGCAGTGACTCAAGTATCGACTACCCTTTATTCGACCATGGGCCCCATGCTGTGGACACTAGAGGAGCAATGGAGACGATTTCAGCAAGAATATGCTCTACGTCACCAAGTGGCGATCAACATGTGGCTGACGAGTCTGTCGGTCAGGCAGAGGTACGGCCCAATGTCGGACTCAACATCCAGCTCAGATCGGGGCCAACCTCGGGTGAGGAGTTGGAGCAGCTACGATTCATGATGCCGTTTCCTCTGTTTCAAGATGCAGCCCGCCGTCAGGCCGCTGAATTTTTCCAGTCAACCCTTCAGAAGGGCAGTGGCCTCTCCATGGGGGAGATGGGTGCCAATCTTCGACAGCGACGACGACCTCGCTCTTGGCGACGCCCCCCTCCTCGTCCATGTCCACCTCCTGTATGGGCGACGGCGACGCCAGCGCTGATGGAAACGCTATCGAATGATGGCGTGGGAACCCTTGCCAAGTACCCAGGAGCCCTCTCAGAGCCTTTCCCACGCAGCGGCCTCTACACCCTGCAAATCCCAGAGAGATACCACCACAAGGGAGAAGGAGGCCCCGTTTGGATTCTTGCACCAGGGCGACTAGGACTTTGTCTTGCTCCACTTGCCGCAAAGTGGCGACCGCTTCCAGTATGCATGTATATTGCCAGAATGGAGTTGGGTGCGACCCTGTTCCAGGCGGCCGAGTTGGCCCCCGGCTTCCTGTGCAATTTCACTCGGGTACGTATGGCCATATTCCACTTTGACCAGCACCTCAAATGTCTGGGCCTGCCAGCAGCGCGAAGACCCGTCTTGAAGCTACCCTTTGAGTTTCAAGCGAGGCAACTGCAGCACTTGGTCCACAGCTCCGTTCACGCTATGTGCCGCAATATGCGTTTCGAGACCGCCCGCGCGCGGTGCAGCCAGTCCCCTCGCGTTTCTTTTCGAGCCCGCAGAGTGTGGAAGGATCGTGCGTCAGCCAGTCGTTTTTGCGCAGAGTATCAGGCTGACTGTTTACCAGCTTCAGCTACAGCGTCACATTTTGTTTCAGGACCACTTGGCGTGAAGCAGCTCCCAGGCCCGTGGAGGTTTCCTGTGTGGCATGTCCCAGCAGTATCCTTTCGAAGTGCGAGGTCGGGACTGCTGGAACGGGCCCAATCCGCCCGACTTGCTCAGCCTGCGATCCAACGAGGGTTGGATTACTTGAAGCAGAAGTTTAGGCAGCCCCTGCCACATGACCTCGCAGCAGCCCACCCTCAAACCCCTCAGCAGTGGCAGCAGATGGAACAATACTTCAAAGAAACATTGGAGCAAACAAGCAACAGTATATTTATATCAGACGACAAACAGTGTGACAAAATATGGAGGGGGGATGGTGTGGACATCGTTCGATGGCTACACCAAACTGCAGAGTTAGATGAGGATTGGCAGATGCGACTTGATCTTTCCCGTTATGATGCAGCACTGTGGTTATGGACGAGGGCTCGACATGGGCCCCCCAGTTGGCTCCGATCCCAGACGATGCCCCCTCGCCTATCTAAAAAAACAGATCCTCCCTACGTCTTCCCCACGGCCAAGAGCAAGTGCTTCCTTCTCGGTGGCGCCCGTTGCTGCGGGAAGCCTGGTCATAGTTGCATGCGTCGAATTGTGAACTCAGCAAATGCACCGGGCACGGCGGGGCGCAGGATCATTGGCCGTGCCGCCCGCCATCTTTCACGTGCAAGTGACGTATCGTGTGAGGTGTTTGACATGAAAGATGCCTCGAAAGAGATTGGGCGTGCTGCGCGTGATTTAGAACCCCCGCCTGATGATATGCGTGTACGATGCTCGGAACCGTTATCATTCATATATATCGTGGTAGCAGATGCAGATCAGGCGCATGAGCAATGTAGTTCCACGTTGATGGGAAAAGCTTGGAGTGAGTATCAAAAGAAGTATCAAAACGACTAGGAACGAATGCTGCGCTTGCCAAACGCGGCAAGGAAAATGAAACAACAAACCTTCAAATCAGGGGCTCCACCTAATTACTATAACGTATCGAGCACCGATACAGCATCCACTATGCTAGCCTATTATTGGTTATCGTTGGTTGCGATTGGTGGGCATGGCTATGAGTTGAGAGGTTTACCGATTGGTGTACTCTCAGGGGTGGCGTTGTCCGTGTCATTAGCATGGTTTGAACTTCGAGCGCGCAAAGATCCCGAACGGTTTCGCGATGTGGGTTTTCAGATATCACCGAGACCAGGAAAAGTGGGGATTAGACAACGTCGTTATGTTGATGACATACTAGGTATTAACAAGGTGCACTGCAGGCGGTGTGCCTACCTCTACCTGTCCCAGGTATGCCAGGTCAAGCTCCCTCCCGCCTCCAACCTTGAAGACCCCCTGGCCCCCTGCACGTGGTTGGACCTGGATCTTTGGCCGATGGAGGACAAGATATCTATTCTACCACGAAATGAGAATCGGGCGTGGCTCTTGGGAGGTTGCGCGGGCGTTCGACCGAAAACCAACCTACTTCCGTGGCCAGGGCGACCACCGCGAGGTTTCAACATGGCGGTTTCCCTAGTGACAGCCGCCTAGCTCGAGCTCAATACCTCGCACGACCGATTCAGGTCACGTTGTCTTGGGTCCTGGAGTTTATGCTGGAGATGTTTGTCCTGGGATACCCAGCGTCGGTCCTAGTGGCAGCACTTCGCGCATGGTCCGCGGCCATCCAGAAGGCTCGAGCGATCGTGAGGCGCTGGTCCAAGTTCGTCCTCCCCTACCGCGAGATGGGCAGAGGTGGCCAACGCCAACCCCGGGCGCGGGCGAACAGTGGCCGAGACAATGGGGGAAAGGCGTCGGGCTTTGCCTTCAACTATCGAGCTCCTGATCCTCGCCCACGTGACCGCAGCGATGACCGTGATCGTGACCGAGGTCGTGACCGTGACCGCGACCGCAAATACAGTCCTGAACGGTGTGACCGTGACGATCGAGGAGAGGGCCGTGACTACCTGGTGCACAGAGAGGTACGGGACTTTCGTGATTGTCGGGGTGTCCGTGATCTACATGGCTATCGCGATCGACGGGATTTCTACAACAGGGATGGCTTCGACCACCGTAATCTCCATGAGGATCGACGCCGAGGTTCGGGCAGAGACAGCCGTGGATATGGATATCCAAGGGCTCGGTTTCGCTCACCTGGACGCCGAGGCGAACGCATGCAACGGCTGCGTGAAGAGCTCGCGGCGATTGATCCCGAGTTCAAGGCGGCCCTCAAGGGCAAACAGGACAGGATCGAGGAGATGAAGCTGCGCAAGCAGAGCGAGTATGTGGCCCAGGCGATGAAGCCCAGCTTCGGGGACAAACTCCCGAAGGTGCTGGAGTCGGCGGACA